TGTTATTCTGCAAATTATTATTATTCTGTATGGTTCCTTATGAAGACTATTTTATGATTCCGTAACTTCCAACAGAACACATATCGATCGGAGGGTTCGGGAGCCCTGAAAAAAATCTACAAATTATTTAATAAACAACTGCTGAGGCTTTTAAGTTTGCTCGGTCTGCAAAACTCTCGCGTTGTGCAATGCCAGTATATTTGAATCATTTTATCATCTTCACTTGTCCAGGCCCTACTGTGATTGCCAACTCTATCTAAACTACAATTTATCTATTTGGTATCAAATGAAACGAGGAAAGCCAGCGGAAAGCCAGCTATTGAAAAATATTTCAATAAATAATGTTATTTAATTATCATAGAACAAACCTTGGGCCAAATATATGAATTTCTTTTGAATTAAACTATAAAAAAAATATAAATAGAGGTGGTAACCTTCGTACGTTATTTCTGTTATTTAAGTCCTTTTTCATATGATAACCAAGTTTGTTTAATTTGGATAAGCGGTTTGTTAATTATGCGGAGTGGACTTTTATTGTGGACTTTATCTGGCCAAGTTTAACTGTTGAAAAAAGTAACTGCTATTTTCGGTACCTGATTCCTTGTGCTAAACTCGATATTTGGGGGTTGAAAATTGTTAAACATTGGTACTTTTCAAAACGTTTGCATTGCCCCGATCTATAATAAATTAAATACCCAGTAAATACAAATTGCGCAATAATTGTGCAATTTTAGTGCAATTCTCGTGAGCACTCACGGAATTGCGCAATTATTGACCGCATCTGCGTCCGCGGAATAGCGCAATTTTTGTACAACTCAATTGTTTCATTTTGTCAATGTGATTATGGCTTATTAACATGTTATTTTTAATATTTTTATTGAGCTTTGTACCACGATTGTTATTAGGAAAAATTTAAAAAGCAACAAAGCCTAAGTGGTAGAAGTTATAGCAGCTATTTCGGAGATCACTACATCTCCTCATCAGACTTCTATTTTCTAGACTTCAGTTTCATTTTATTTTTCCAATTTCTTGTTCACTCCAGCTTATAATCGCAAATTTTCGCCATATTCGAGTATATGTAATGAAATGTTCTTATCATATTAATGTATGCATACGTATATGTACATAGATACATAAGTATAACAATAATTTATGACTAAAAGCGAAAATCAACCAAAAATCAACAAAATAAAATGAAACAAGTAAGAAAGTCTAAGTTCGGGCGGAGCCGAACATTAAATACCCGGCGCAAGTATTAAATATATGTTTTTCCACCTTTCCGAAAGCTATCGCTAGATGGTAAGCCGGGGTGTACCAATTTTGAGTAGCGTCCTTAAATGTCGAAATATTGCAGTTTCAAGCATTTCTGAAATTTACCGTTATATGAAAAGCGGCCGTAATATTAGTCCGATTTCAATAATTTTCAACGTTTAGCTTTTATGTGGCAAGCACAATAAAAACACCGAGTTTGGTACAAATTGGTAGAACGGTTACCGATATACATATATGTGATCATAAGTGGGCGGTGCCACGCCCATTTTCCAAAATTTTACCATAAACGTATTTCTTGGTAAAGAATTGTTGCAAGCATCAATTTTGAATAAATTAGCTTTAATATTTACTGATTTATCGAAGATTTTGTATTTCTCTAAATTACCGTTATATGGGATGTGGGCGTGGTTATTGTCCGATTTTTTAAATTTTCGGCCATGTAGTATGCTGTACCAAGGCCAACAACTGTGCCAAGTTTGGAAGAAATTGGTGCAGCGGTTACCAAGATATACACATGTAACCATAAGTGGGCGTGGCTACGCCCATTTTCCAAAAATTTATAATATTCTTAGTTTTCGTCTAAAAATTGTTGTAAATATCAATTTTGAGTGAATAATCTTCAGTAGTTACTAAAATATCGCAGTTTTCGTATTTCCGAAAATTACCGTTATATGGGATGTGGGCGTGGTTATTGTCCGATTTTTAAAATTTTCGGCCATTTAGTATGCTGTATCATGGCCAACAACTGTGCCAAGTTTGGAATAAATTCGTGCAGCGGATACCAAGATATATACATATAACCATAAGTGGGCGTGGCTACGCCCATTTTCCAAAAATTTATAATATTCTTATTTTTCGTCTGAAAATTATTGTAAATATCAATTTTGAGTGAATTATCTTCAGTAGTTACTAAAATATCGCAGTTTTCGTATTTCTGGAAATTACCGTTATATGGGAAGTGGGCGTGGTTACAGTCCGATTTCGCCCATTTTCAATACCAACCTACCTTGGATTAACAGAAACCTACATACCAAATTTCGTTGAGATATCTCAATTTTTGCTCGGGTTATCGTGTACACGGACGGACGGACAGACGGACAGACGGACGGACAGACAGACATGGATTAATCGATTTCTCTATTCATTCTGAGCATGTATACATTTGTCTATATCTATCTCGATTCGTTTTGGCTGTTACAAACAACCGTTATGTGAACAAAATTAATATACCCTTGTGCACAAGTGCGCTCGGGTATAAAAAATTAAGCGACACAGAAATTTCACAATCATACGAATGTAGATACAGTCATTAGCCGAATAATATTATGGGTGAATTCAGCCAACTTCGCGGTGTGTAAAAGGTTAGAACACAACAACATATTTTTGATATTTACCATCTCATACATAATATTCACACTCTTAATACACTTTTTATGTTTGCAGGCATTGTTCAAAGATTCCGGTGGAAAAAATAGCAAAATCATTTATTGATGCTCTCAATAACTACAACAAACCATTGTAGCCATCCATACATCGGATGCTACAACGCTCATTTTCATCTCTACGCAGATAGTGATAGAACTTTTTAGAAAAGTATCGATACTAGTACTCATATAGAATACCCTAAAGAAGGATCGATGCCAGTACTCGCATTTGCAAAAAAGTATCGATAATAGTCGTACTTTCAAGTATTTTTATATCAAACGCGAAAAGTAAACAAAAATCTGATTTGTAAATTAAATGGAAACTGCTTTAAATAGTTGGAATGTGATCTAGCAAGCACTTCAACAATAATTTTTTAAATAAACTTGCAGTAAGTTTACTATTACAAGTGTAAAGTAATAGTTTACAGCAAAGAGCTATAAGTTTTTAAGATCAAATATTCTATAATGTTTAACGCGTATATTTATAAACCACTTTACTTTTAAAATGAGATGAAAAACCGAAAATGAGAAACAAATGAGGTGAAGTCCATTCTCTAAAGGAAATATCGCACGTTTAATAATATAGAGATGTAACTCAAAATTTACGTTTTTGGAGATATCGTTATGCAATTAATAAGCTTGATGAGTAGAATATGTTCAGTCTAACAGATAACCAAACTTCCCAAATATGGCGCAGATATGTGTTTTTCCATCTGTCTTTTTGTATACCAACTGTATGAATTGATAAAACTTTGATTGCGTTTTCCCACGAAATTAAAATTTTGAAATACTTCGTTATATTACACTATGCGACAGTCAAAATCGGGATGGGATGAAACCAACGGGAAATGTTATATCGGTCAAAAACAAGTTATACGTGTCCCGGCGTTTCGCTGGGTCACGTCTAGGAATCGAGATATATATATAACTATCATATAGGGGAAATTGTCACCTTTGGTGGACTTTTTTTGACATAACTCGAGAACCACTAGTCCGATTTTGCTCAAACAAATTTAAAAAAATTAAAAATTACAATTCCTTTAATCTGTTCATATAACGTTTTTCTATATAATCAACTATATGATAGTTATATTTATATCTCGATTCCTAGACGTGACCCAGCGAAACGCCGGGACACGTATAACTTCTTTTTTACCGATATAACTTTCCCCGGTAGTTTGAACCCTTCCCGATCACTGACCCCTACCATTTGTCTCACAGTGTTATTAAACGTGCGATATAATCTCTCTTTCATAAAGGAATGGGTTGGATTCCGAATAAACAACGAGGGTAGAATACATTCGTTAACGGAGGATCTGATATGCCGGAGAATAGCCAAGTTATCGTGTCGAAGACCATCCTCTTACCCATTCGTTATAGAAGGTGAAGCAAGAGATTCGTTATCCAATTATTTAAGAATTTTTAACCAAGCCCAATGTTGAAATGACCGCTATCCCTTCTTGTACGGTGTGTAAAAATTTCATAGTTGTACCGATTACCAGTAGCCCATGAGAACAAAATATGTATTAATTTTTACTATGGGAGTACCTATATGTAAGTTCAAACCTTTCAAGCCGTTTTTCTAGATTTTTTTGGGGCTAAGACATTTTTAAAGCGTTATGTTCCTTTTCACGACATTCGCATTGGATATCGAAGATAATTTTCGAACGTTCGCCACATTGTTTATTGTGTAATTTTCAAACATTTTGTAATTGAAATAGCGAAATTTTTTATATGAATTTTAATTTTTTTTACTTAAAAAAAGTTTTAAAAACTTCGATATTTTTTGGTATTCGCGATACTTACTCAGTACTTGTCAAAAAGTATCGAGTTGCCGATACTACTCAGTACTCATGGTGGTTATTATGGAAAATTATTGTTGGTGAAATAATGAGCATAAATAAGCAGATATGTATTTCTCGGCGAGAATGACAAATCAAAAACATGACGTCTTTGACCGCATATGCACATACATACATATGTATATACAAATGTAAATGCGTACATTTTCACGTACTTAGCAAACCATAAGACGTCTTTAAACTCAAAATAGGAGTGTTAACTATAGTGCAGTGGGCACTCATAATTAATTATTTATTCTACATCACTTACTTCCCTCTTACACAATCAACAAATGCAGGCTAATCAAATATTTTCCTAAAGATAACCATAAGCTTTACACTTTAGGGCTATCATTTAAGAAACAACCTACTTGTTTACTATACAATCCTTCCAACATTTATAATAAATGTGTAATAACATAAACGATTAAAATTGCGTCCTTGACGCATGCGCCACACTTACATTTCCAAATCCTGAAAGGTTTTATCACAAACTTCACAACGTATATCGAAACCGTTTTCGTCGTCGGACAAATCAATACCATCCAAATGTTCGCCGAACGAACGCTGCTTGTTATATTCGTCGTCGCCGGTGGTATTGCCGCCACTATAGAGAGATCCTAAAAGACACAGAAAAAAATAAAAATATGTAGAATGAAACAGTTAGCTGAGTATTGCAATAAATAAAATATATGTATGTATGTATTACTATAAAAAAATAGAAATGAAGATAAATTAAAAAACTTCAACAGATATGTTTCAAGTACAATGCACAATAACTACATTCATGTACTTGAGTATAATGTCTTGGGCCCTGTAGCGTGCGCGCGCAACGCTTACGGCAAGTGATTTATGAGCGCAACAGCAGCACAATGCAACTAACCGCTTTCGCTGCCACTGTTGCTGCCGTCCCTGCTGCGGCGGGGCATCTTTGTGCTAACTAATAACATCAACAAAAACGCAGCTCCAGTTGCCCAACACGATTGTGGCATAATTTTGTGGCCGCGTACATGCTGCTGGCGCAACTAGTGGCAACCACAACCGCAGGAAATTACCAGTTGCAGCAGTAATTTTGGGCTCATCAAAGGTCAATTGACCAGCATGGAGGACGCCCACTGACGATGTTGGCGCGAAAAAAGGCAGCAAGTTGCCACCAAATAAATGGCTACTACCCACCAACTAACAACTCGATCCAGATATACATAGATGTATACAAGTAGATACTTGCCGCCAAAACCTAAGACTATGCACATATGTACCTAGAAGTATACACAAATTTATGTAAGTTTGTAAGTGTGTTAAGAAAACAATGAGGCTGTGACGTGGGTGAGTTCGGTGCGCAACTTAGTTTGACCATTTTTGGCGGTTGGCAGCTTGCAGCTGGTGCAATGGCTGCGCTACTTTTAATGAAAATCCGATAAAATCAACGGACTGACCCAACACTAACAGTAAGCATCATTACTATTGTTATTACCTTTTTGTTTGGCATAATAGGATGGTTTTTAATTTTAATGTGGCAGCGATGGGCCGTACCGCTGATGATATTGTTTTGATATCTCTACATATTATTCTTGAGGCATAAACAAAAAAAATGAAGTTTTAGGAAAACTAAGAATTTGTGATCTTTATGCGGTGAAACGTATTTGGCTTCGATGAAGCAAAATTTATTTCTGGTGTTAACATGATAAATG